ATTCTGACAGTGCTCTATCAGGTACCTCTTGGGCTGGAACCAAGGCGAATGGACTCCAGCCTGTCTGACTTTTATTGTTTATCATGAAGCTGTTCCATCTTCAGTATATCTGTACTGCTTCTGTTGAGATGATGGGAGAGACTCACAAATGTACTAAATATAAACGGACTCCAGCTGAGAAACATTTATGTGTAGCCTATTTGTACTAGCAATCAGTGAAGAATTTACATTCTTTTTTACATTGTTTAAAAGGCAACTCTACATCAAGTTATCATTTAAAGGCTATAATAGATTCACTGCTGAATTCGAACTTTAGAGAAGATCTAATGCCAGTACTCCTCAAACTCTTTAATGAAATTGAGAGAAACAGTGCTCCCAAAGTCATTCCTAGAGGCGAAAATTGCCTGATTACAAATAAGAAAAGGACCCCAACAAAAAAGAGAACTACAGGCCAATTTCTTTAATGAACACAGATGCAAAAATCTTCAATAAGATATTGGCAAACAGAATGCAGCAAATCATCAGATCATACATCATGACCAGGTAGGATTCATCCCAGGGATGCAGGGATAGTTCAACATACACAAATCAATAAAAGTAATACACCACATAAATAGAAATAAGAACAGAAATCACATGATTGTCTCAGTAGACACAGAAAAAGTATTTGACAAAGTCCAACATCCATTCATGATAAAAACACTAAAGAAAATAGGAATAGAAGGTCTTCACTTCAATCTGATAAAAGCCATCTATGACAAATCAACAGCCAACATCATACTAAGTGGAGAGAAGCTGAAAGTTTTCACTCTAAAATCAGGAATGTGGGCCACGGATTTAGCTCAGTGGTTCTGCTGCCTGCCTTGCAAGTGCAAGGTCCTGAATTCGATCCCCAGTACCAAAAAAATAAAAAGACTATGTAATGCAATATAAAATCAGGAACAAGTCAAGGATGTTTGCTATCACCACTTCTATTTAGTATAGTTCTTGAAACATTGACTACAGCAGTAAGATAAATAAAAAGGATATGGATAGGGATGGAAGAAGTTAAATTATTAGTACTTACTGATGACATGACTCTCTACACAGAAGACCCTCAAAACTCCAAAGACTCCTACAACTAATATCCCAATCTGACAGTGTAGCAGGATACTAAAAAATCAGTAGCATTTCTGTACATGAATAACTAACTTACTGAGAGGAAAATTAGAGAAACAATACCTTTCACAATAGCATCAAGAAAAATGAAATACTTAGGAATTAATCTAACCAAGGAAATTTAAGAACTCTACAAAGAAAACTATAGTACTCTGAAAAAAGGAGATTGAAGAGAATATCAGAAAATGGAAAGATATCCTGTTTCTGGATAGGCAGAACCAGTATAGTCAAAATGGCCATACTTCCAAAACTGTTATATTGATTTAATGCAATCTCAATCAGAATACCAATAACATTCTTTACAGAACTGGAGAAAGCAACCTAAAATTCATATGGGACCAGAAGAAACTAGAAGAGCAAAAGCAATTCTGGGAAACATGGGCAAGGCAGGGGGCATCACAATCCCAGACTTCAAGTTATACTACAAAGCTACAGTGACAAAACAGCATGGTATTGGCAAAAACAAAAAATATAGACTCATGGATCAATGGAACAGAATAGAATATACGGAAGCACCTTCATCCACACTCAGCTATGTTATTTTTTGACGGGCTAAATCCCTTTGCTGGAGAAAAGATTAGCCTCTTTAACAAATGGTGCTGGGAAAACTGGCTATCCACATGCAAATGGTTGAACATAGACCCATATCTCTCACCATGCACTAAACTAAAATCAAAATGGATAAACGTCTAAACATTAGTAAAGAAACACAATCTGCTGAAAGACAAAATAGGTAAAACTCTCAAAAACATGGCTGTAGGCAAAGACTTTCTGAACAAAATATCAGTTGCCCAAGAAATAATAACAAGAATCAACAAATAGGATCACATCAAACTAAACAGCCTCTGCACAGCAAAGGAAACCACTAACAGAGTGAAGAGACAACCTCTAAAATGGGGGAAAAATTACCAGCTACTCCTCAAAGAACTAATATCTAGAATATATAAACAACTTGAAATATGAGACCCCCCCAAATGTAAAGATGCAATTTAAAAATGTAATGAATAGACACTTCTCAGATGAAATACCAGTAGTCAATAAAGACATGAAAAAATGTTTAACATCACTGGCCATTCAAGAAATGCAAATAAAAATAACACACTTCATCTTATTCCAGCAATAATGGCTGTCTTCAAGAAATCAACCAATAATAAATGCTGGTGAGGCTGTGGGGAGAAATAATTCTCCATTGTTGGTGGGAGGGTAAACTGATACAACCACTATGGAAATCAGTATTGAGATTCCTCAAAAAACTAAAAGTAGAAATTCCATTTGACCCACCTATTTCCCTTCTATGTATCTTCTCAGAAGAATTAAATACATTATACAGCAGTGATGTATGCATACTGAAGTTTACAGCAGCACAATTTTTACTGGCTAAATCTTGGAAACAGTCTATATGTCCATCAACAGATGAATGGATTTGAAAATGTATTTATACACCATGGAGTACTACTCAGCAATAAAAAAATAAAGTTAAGTCATTTGTAGGAAAAATGGATGCACTTTGAGACCATAATGTTAAGTGAAGTAACTCAGACACACAAGCTTAAATATCACATGGTTTCTCAGATATGAGAAACTCATATGTCTGTCTTTTATGTCCATGTAAGACAGATAAAAGGAAAAAGAAAAAGAAGTATTATAATCCAGTGTAGAGAATGTATCTAAAAGTGTACCTTGATTTGGTACAATTATCTTACGTGTTTTATATGTTCTTTGGCCTATTAGTCTAGTTTTCAATCTGTATTATATGATAATTTACTTTATAAGGTTTTATAAATAAATGAATTTGATGCTAAAAAAAGGGGATTGGGGAAGGGGGTAAAGAAGTGAATTGAAATGTGTTATGTACATGTCCCAATCTTCTACAGCGAATATAATTATTATGTACTGCAAACACATACTAATAAATATTTTAAAATAATACAAATGAAGAAAGTAGCTTGGTGGTTGCCAGAGGCTGCTGGTATTTCAAGATTATAAGATCTGTGGCCCCTTCCTTTTTGGGGTGATGAAAATTTTTTCAAGTTGATTGTGGTTTCATTTGGACAACTTCATATACTAAATATTACTGTATTATATACTTTTAAATGCAGAATTGGAGCCTAGGGATGTAGCTCAATAGTAAAATGCTTGCCTAGCATTCAGAAAGCCCTGGGTTTAATCTCCAACATCATGAAATAATAATAAAATAAAATAGTGAAAAAACCCTAAAGCTAAAACTATGGCTATTAATATAGACTTCCTAGATTAGCAAAGGTTTTCCTTTAAAAGAGCTTGATAATAGACATATGGGCATATTCAGTCCTTTCATATTTTCTCATTCATTTCTGAAACCCTTAAAAAAATGGAAAAAATCCACTCTTAGGTCTGAGGCTGTACCAGAAAAGCTGGTGGCTCCCTTTGGTCCATGGGCTCTATTTGTCCTGTCTTTGATGGAGACTCATTGGGATATATGGATCTATACTCTCCCTTCTGCCTGAACAAATACTTCTTTTTATATCTCTTCCAATATTTTGGCTTCAAGAAATGGTCTACAGGTGTCCACTTGCCTTTTGCTAAAACTTCAGATACTTTTCTTGGTCAGGGTTCTCCAGAGAAACAGAATCAGTAGCACATGGTGGAGACATTGTTATGGGAATTGTCTCACATCAATATGGAGGCCTTTAAGTCCCACAGTGTACATTCTGCAAGATAGAGGCCCAGAAAACAAGGTAGCGTAGTTCAGCCTGAATACAAAGGCCTGAGAACCATAAATTCTGATGTTCTAGGCTAGGAGATGAATGTTCTAGCTCAAGAAGGGGTTGAATCAGCCTTCCTCCACCTTTTTCTCTATTCCAGGCCTTGATGGGTTGGGTTATGCCCATCCACAGTGGGAAGGAAGGGTCTTCTCCAGTCTACCAAATGTTAATCTTTTCTGGAAACTTCACAGTCACATCCAGAAATAATACTTTACCAGCCATCTGGGCATCCCTCAGCCCAGTCTAGGGGACACGTAAAATTACCTGCGACATGCCATTCTGAACATTGAAGACATCAGAGAACCATGAGTCTGCTCCTGCACGTACAAAGGAAGAAAAATGTCACATACAAAGTTTTGGGCATTCTTGAATCAAATATTATTCTGGAATATTTCTTTCCATAATGATTAAACTAGTACTTTAAAGCTTGACTCCAAGGACTCTCTAGTTTAAATGATACTTAGGGATCTTCTGATCTACAGAGCTTTTCCTACCTATACTTTGTTCTCTTTGCATTTATAGATACATACACATGCTCATTTTCCTTTTTCCTTAAATTTTCTGGACTATCTTTGCTGTCTCTAAAACAATGGATCCTGAAAATAAAAACTTCTTGAGCAGTAAAGTAGGAAATGTGCTTTTAGTAGTTTAAAATGACATATTAATGTGCATTTCTGAGCATTTCAGTTAAAGATAATTGTTTGGGGACTGGGAGAAGCAGTTTATCCAGTGTCAATAATGATCTGAGGAAGAGGGTTACACATATTAACCAGAAACGTTGACAGTGAAGCAGTTGCATAGTGTTTTTCTTTTAAGAAAATTATCCTATTTCATATGTATAAATGAACATGTGTGTGGGCAGAGATTTTCTTGTCTTGCTCCTAAAGTTCCTTTGCAGAAGTAAAATTACCAAGTATTGAAAGGCAAGAGATTTCTTCTTAGGTATAAAGTTTACTAATTTATCATTTGGATATAACTTTCTTGATGAATCTTTCTTCATAATTACATATCCTTGGAGTATATAATCTTACTAAAGAATATTCTCTTACATACTTTAAAATACTAATCTCACTTGATTATGTCTTTTTTTCTTTCCAGAAAATATTTGTATGCCACATCTTCTTTTAAAGGAACACTTAGAAATGAAGTTAAAAAGGCACAGGAAGCAGTAAAGATTGGTATGTGATCACTAGTGGTCCACATCATTATTGCTCATTCATTCAGCAAATGTTAATTCAGCATTTATTCTGAGACATTCACTGCTCTAGACATTATAGGCAGCGCTACAGTTAAACGTAATTCCTACCTCTATGGAATTTCATAACAAGTCTTTCCATCGCTGAGTTTAAGGGTGTACATTTTAAGTATGATTTTGAACATAATTAATTAATTAATTGATTGATTTCTTTTTTTTTTTGGTACCAGGGATCTAACTTAGGATCTTGCGAGTCAGGTGCAGTGCCACTGAGCTAAATCCCCAGCCCTGGAATTAAGTGATGTATATTAGGAACCTTCACAGTCATGATACTGTTAGGTCAGCGTTACATTTATTTTAAGAGGAATTTTTTTTTTCTGGTACTGTGGAATGGAACTCAGGACCTTGCACTTGCAAGGCAGGCTCAGTGGTTTCGCCATCTGCTGTGCAAGCACAAGGACCTGAGTTCCATCCCCGGTACCAAAAAAAAATAAAAATAAAAAACATAAATCCCCAGCCCTTAAGAGGAATTTTTTACATACTCTCTCTCTTCCTACAGCAAAGCAAAACCTACCCTTCCCCAGTCATCTGGGAGTGGGAATAGTTCTACATTATATTTTATAGATTTTACAGTATTTTTAGTTGGCCAAAGTTTGACTCATACTTTTGAATTTGTACATGTAAAGTTATAAATTGTCACACCTAAGAGGAAGCCTGATAGAAAATAAAAAATGCATAAGAGCTCTGACATGAACGTAGGATTTTCTGAGATCATGATTACTGTATGCCATTCTTACTGGTCATGGCTATGTGTATTGAAGACACTCTCTTAAAAATTGATTGAAAGAATTTCACTGTACTATAACTATTTTGCTTCTGTTTCCAGCTGAACTCTTACTGAAAGAAGCACAAATCAAAGTAAGCCAGCCCGTCAGAACTGCTTCATCTTCTGACCAGGTGCGCCCTGTGAAGAGTGAGTGGTCTTAAATGGCATGCTGTGTCACTGACTTTTCTTGTTCATAGTTGTCTCTAATTATTTACTTCTTACACTTTTAAATGCAGATAGGCTCAAAAGATTAAAAAGTTAATTTTATCACAGGTAAACAGCAGATGGGTTCAGGGAAAGGAGAGGAAACCCAGCAAATAGGGAGAAGGCTGACACTGAGAGCAAAAGTGAACAAAATATCCTGTGAATTTGGGTCAGTGAGGAAGTGTCTAACAACCAGTTTCTTTAAAATGAAAAAGAAAATAATACAAGAGAAGGAGAAAATGATGAAAAGCTAGTAGAAAAAACCTAGCCTATCGAGTTTCCTTGAAAATATCTTTTGAAATTATAGCTCTCTGTGAACCTAAATAAATGGAGAAAACAAGAAGAGGACCCATAAGCAATTCTTCTTTCTAGTGCTAGGAGTTATACACCATAATTATGAATATTAATAACTGCTTCCAGCTTACAAAGCTCTTTTCTTATAAGTTGCTCCACACAGTTCATAAACATTCTCTGTATTTCTTCCAATGTGCCCACTAATAGGATAAGTTATAGAGAACTATCATTATTAATTACAGTGCATTTCAGCTAAGAAAAAAAGAATATTGCTGCAAGATATGTATTGGAAGTTTACTAACTTTTACACAGAATATGGTATAAAGCTTTGCACCATGGTAAACCATTAAGAAGTTTATCTATTTGCTTGATTACAAAGGGATGAGTAGGAATATGAAGAAAGAATGCTTTTTGTTACCTTTTCTTTATCCTCTTCCACATACTAAATATGTGAATTCTTTCAGTGATCTCCCCTAGACTTTTAAGGATCAAGGATGTGGCTGACAAAGAGCTGGCCTATCTAAGGGTCATGAGTAAGGCATGAAATCAAAGAGTAGCTTGTGGAAGTGCCCTAAAGCTGAATCTATCCATGACTTCCTCAACAGTCTCTTTCTTTCCTTTCACTTTTTTTTTAAGTTAAAGTAAACCTGTCTCATTGCAATTAAATTTTTTATGGTTTAAGTTTCTTTTCTATTTTTGTCTCTCAGAAATCAGTTCCCCTTACTTTCTGTATTTGAGAGTCAAGACTCAGGCTTTCTACCTGCTTTAGCGGGCTCCTTTCACTACCCCTCCGCTCCCCAGGCCTAGTGAGAGTGCGCTGCCAGGAAGGGTTGGGATATCTTTGACCAGTTTGCTTTGTTGCTCTTATGTGCCCCTTAATTTAGTGCAGAGAAGAGAGCAAAGCAGAATGACCTGAATTTTTGACCTCTTAAATGCTTTCAGGCAGTTGAATTTGAATGAAATACATACCAATCATTTTCCATTTTCTTTTACCTGAAAGACAATGCTAGTGGTGTTCCATCAGCAGTGTACCCAACCAAAGAGATGGCTGCCTTTCACGTCAAAGTCTACACATTTGTGAGAACAAGCCTGGTGAATTATTCCTTTTCTGCCTGGTTAAAGCAAGCGCACTAGAGATGGGGTAGTGAATAAGCCAGTATAGCAAATTAATAGACTAGATAAGAAAGACAATTGGCCACTGATACTGGAATGCTCTGAAAAGGAAAAGCCAAGGGATTGAGTCACCTAGTCAGGGGAAATATTAGAGGCATCCAGAACTTGACATGAAGGGGTTTTTTGACTAGTAACAAAATTTATTAATTACTGTTTGTTTTTAAAAATTTTCTTGGTACATTTTAGGTACACAATATAATGACATTCATCATTGGAGATTTGAACCTTTACATAACCTCTCTTGGTTCTTATTTTTTCCTCACTCCCCTGCCCTCCCTTCAACCCCTCCATCCTTCCCTATTTACAAAGACTTTGTTTCCATTTTTTCATTTTCTCATTTTAATTCCATTCCCTTCTTTCCTTTCCTCTCCCCCTTCCCCTTCACCTTTGCCCCTTTTCTTCCTATTTCATGTCATTTATTACTGTTTTTAATAAAAGAAGTCAATGATTACATAATTGAACATTATCCTTTCTCACAAAAGGCCAGATCCTAGGTATATTAAATATCTCATCTAGGTTTTTTTGTACTTTGTGTCAAAGCCATTATGCCATTGTGGGGAGTGAAGATTCTTTATCTAAAAGGCTGAGGGTATATCTAAATATGTGCAGCAAGAGCATGGTGTATTAGGATTTGGTTTCTTTGTAACAATTATTTACTTAACTCTTGGAACGTAAACATTTACCAAGGATCTATTGAAAATGTACCATGCACTAGGCAATGTGATCTATTATTGCTACCCTTGAAATATTTGGATAATAGGATAATATTAACTCACTTTTTGTCAACTTTATGGTCTCTCCCAACCAAATGAACTTCTCTAGGATATATTACAGAAAGCTTTGGAAGATGTAGAAGCAAAACATAAGAATCTTAAAGAGAAACAAAGGTAAGTCATAGGTTTTCTCTTTGCAAGGACCCTTTGTTCCGTGTGTTAAGACAAATTCTGATTTCTAAGTAGGCAGGTTTGATGATTATTATTGTAACAATTTCTCTTCTTCAATTTGCGATATTTTATAATATAAATCCTAATATGGTCAATATTCCCCAGCCAAGATAAACAATGTAAAATATTTATAAAATATATATTGGCACGTGCATGTATTTGTCTAGGCAGTGTTAAAAATTTTGGGGAAAAAATGAGAAACTGTTTCAGGATTTGGTAGTTTACACTGGATGAAGAAATTGAACTGCCAGATTATCATCTTACAACTTCACCATCCCTCTATAACTTGATATTTAAACTATGGAGGGTTGGACCCAATTTCTTCCTTTGTCCAGTACCTTAAAATATAACGTAGGAAATAATAGTTTAAGTAAATACAGCACATACATAGTTAAAATAAAAATAGCAAGGCTAGGTTAGAAAACCAAATATTGACATTGGTAAGGTTGAGTTGTCTTCCAACTGAAATGCTAATAACTAAATAAACCTGAAAATAATCACTGTTGTCCAATAAGGTCAGTCTTTGAAAATTGTGATATCTTTGAGAAACTGTTTTAGGGAAGAATGATTAGTTTTCAGCATTATTTTTGGTAAGCCATCCACTATCATATAGCTATAACTTTCCTCAAAACTTAAATTTGAAATGTTAATTGTGCATTTATCAAAATAAATCAGTTTGAAATGTTACACGTTTATCAGAATAATTTAAATAAATGTCCTAGAAATTTTAAAAACCCATTGTTAATAGAGTGAAATGTATGCAGAGTTCCCTTGTATATATTTTATTAATAATGTCAGTTGGATTAACTTGTTTTCATAGCAAAACACTGTTTTTAAAAAATTTGAAGTCACACAGTAAGCCCCTTAATGAAAATGGCTATAGCATATCCTATAGTCCCCTGTTTTAGAGTCTATTACATAGTCAGTGCTCTTGTTTCTTGAAGAATTGGTATCTCATTATTGAGTTAAGATTTTTAAGAAAAAGTTTGATACAATATGTTTACCTTAAATGTACACGTGTTAAATAAATGCACAATATATTAGCCCATATTAATAACTTTCTCAGAAAGTCTCTGATGTACTCTGTATATAGTATGCATGTTAGAAGGATTGGTAGAACATGACCCATGACTTTTAATGATAGATGCATTGAATAAGCCCAGTAAGTCCGTTACCATCAGCTGTAATAGCTTGTGGTCATTGACCTGCAAATAAAAAGCTGTTTGTGGATGGCACAAAGCTATGGTTGAGTGTAGGGGAAGAACTGTATTTGGTGCCATTCTTGGTTGAGAAAGGAAAATAAGAATCACATTTGTTATGCACCAAATCTGTTCCATATATTTAAAATTATCCCTTTTAGTCTTCACAGTGTTCCCCATTATTAGGTACATATTAATCCCACGTTCTAGGTGAGACAGAGTGTTTAACTGGTTCATTCATATTTGCCCAGTTATTTCCAAGTGAGCTTATATTTGAAGCCACATCTGCCCCTTATATATGAGTAGTTTTCACAGCTCTCTCAGCATCCTGGTGCTATAGTTTCTATCCCATTTTGCTATTTTTCAGTGTTTTTATACATTTAATGGAAAAGTTTAACACAAAACATTGTATACAACAAAGTCAGAAAAACAGTGCTCATATCTGTTGCCCTAATTAACTTGCTTTATTAATTTTTATTTACCTTTGGATTTTGGAAAAGTTTAGAGGGAAAGCTAAAGAGTACCTTTTGGAACATTCTAGTCTATGTAGGATATTTGGAAACACAGGAACATGCTGAAAGTTAGAAATTACATGCAGTGTTAGAAAAACCTACAGTTTTAAAAAACCAAATTAGCACTTTTCAAAAATGCATCAATATATACATTAGGTCAGTTAATATTTCAGAACCCTCTTGGCACTTTCTTGTTCTTGCAAATTTAAATTAAGAGACTTGTTTTAGAATCAATGAATGCCTGTGTTTGACTGGTATAGTTATGCAGGATATTTGGCTATATGGAGACACCAGGTATACATTCCTACCAGGTTTTCCAAAATAGCTGGATATGTTATATGTCATTCCATGGGTGCTCACTTTCTGAATTTAATTATTAGCAGTTCTATAAAGTACATATTTTTGTTTAATAAAAACTTTTAAAACTCTCTTTTAAATGTACCTCTAGAGAATTAAAAAAAGCAAGAACACTCTCCCTATTCTTTGGAGTGAACATAGAAAACCCACAGCAAGATGGAATGTTCATTTACAGTAATAGTCGTTTGATCAAAATGCATGAGAAAGTGGGTCCACAGCTGAAACAGAAGTCCTTGTAAGTATGGTTTTGTTGTCAGATGCACAGGAAGGCAGAGGGAGGCTGCAGTAAGATTTTGTTGGTGGAATAAGAGTTGTGATTAATTATAATGGGAGCAGGTGTCATTTTCTCTGTTCGCCCTTCCAGTCAACGTGCAGGCATTAATCTGCTTAATTCATAATGTCAGTAAAGCTGTATGCTTCCTCTAAGGAAAAGGCACACTTTTAGAATTTTTTCATTGCATTTCTTGGACAACTTGGTACTTTACCACTGCTTGTGCTATCTCTTCAGGGTTTTAATGTTTTACCAACTTAAAAACATTACAGACACATTAAATAAATTTTAGAAGAGAGAAAAATCCATAGTCTTGAAAAGCAGCCCTGTTAACATTTTGTGCTGCCCTTAACATGTAAAAATTTTTTGCCAATTACTCAAATGAGCATATATTATTGAAAGCTTCCAGCCCACTTGGACTTTTGAGTAACAGATTCTTTTGTTTTCCCAGTGGTTTGAAACTCCAAAAGCTTCTTTCATCAGTTATGTAAAGTCCCAAAGAGACACCATCAAAAGGATAGACATGATACCTATGACTAGTAGAATGGGTCAGGGAAGCATTTGTCATCTTGATTCCTCGCTCTTAAGGAAGTAGCTGTTCCTTCATTGTTCAGTCAACAGTTTTATTGTATATGCTAGACACTGTACTAAGCTCTGAAGACAAAATGGTCAAGTCAAACTATCATTTGTTGAAGAACATAGATAGAGTCCAGGCAACGGGACAAGTATATGAATATGTATTTCTATATATAAAATAGCAAAGAACTATAAAATAACTGTAAAAACAGCAAGAACTATCTTATAAAACCAAAAATACTTGACTCTTGCTTAAAACCCCAGAGCAATTAGAATAGAACTGCCTATCATGATCTTCCAGTGATCTATCCTTGGGCTGGCTCTGGGACCCCACTCCTCCACATAGCCTAACCTCTCTGCATTCCTGTTCCTCTGCCTGCTGAGATACTTCCTGCCTGAAGGCCTTAGCACTTGCCTTTCCCTCTTCCTTGAGCCTTCTGTTCTCAGATCTCATGAGTACTGGCCCTAGTACACTATTCAGGCATAAACTCGAACATCGTTTCCATACAATTCATTCTTTCTTGACTAATTAAAATTGGCTTCTGTGGTCACCCCCACCTGTCACTCTTCACATATTTATATCATCTACTATGTTTTCCAAATGTCACCTATCACCATCTGAAATGCTCGTATATATTAATCTGTTTATTAGCGTCATGTCTATCAGTGGAAGAGAAACTTCCTAATCAGGGACTTGTCTTTCTTGTTTATCACTGTATTCCTAGTTCCTGGAATTGTGCCAGGCAGGTGTTGAGCTTGAACGAATGAATGAATGAATGATTTCTATATTAGAGGTGAGCATCAGGTGCAAAAAGAATACAGTAGTATCTTGGTGGTGAGACTCCGTTCATTTCAGATTTGTGTTTGAACATTGACAAGTTCAAAAACTGATGATATTTTCCCCATAAGAATAATAGAAATCCAAATAATTGGTTCTGAAGCCCCAAAATTATTTTTCCAGGACTCTAACAAATTTTGCAGTGATTTCTTTCTTTAATTCTGTCAGGTTCTCACAGTTTTCCTCTTAGCTTTACTGCTGTATCACTAACTTTCTTTTGAGCCATGATTATGATATTTCATGCTAATAAAGCACACAAGGAAAGCACAGTGGTGATTTTTAAAATTCACTAGCACAAGCACTATATGCTGCCTGGGCGAGAGCAGTGCTTAGACTGAAGCGTCTCCCCTTTGTGTCTGTGGCAAGACTCAGTTTTTTCAAGTTGGAGTTTCGGTTCCCCTACTGAGCAAAGTTAGGGACATCAAGCAAATGTTTTTCAAACTTTACTGTTCTACTGGTGGCAAGTTTGAGCTTGGAGTCATTTAACAATTGAGGTATCACTCTATTGAGAAAGGCAGTAACCAAACTAGGGGAAGTCAGGTCAGGATTCCTGGAAGAAGTGGTTCCCAAATTTAGACTTACAGAAAGAACAGTGTAGGGAAGGCAGGGTGGAAGAGAAACATGGTAAAAACATGACAGGTGTGGCCCCTAGTTTGGACAGATGTGATCAGTGTCCAAGTGCAGGGCCATGAGTTCGATTCCTGGTACCAAAAAACAAAGAAACAACCTGAAAAATGAAACAAAACCCAAACCTCTATACTGTAAGCTAGCAGTCAGATACCTGTCACCCTCTAGGATAATGAAATCCATATTTTCTCTGAGTAGAAGTCACTGAAAGCCCCCACGGAGCTCTACAGTGAGGAGAAATCCAGGCTGACAAGTGAAATAGGGATAGAGAAAGTGACTCTGCCCAGTTTCATTAAAAGGATCATGGAGCAGTGAAGCTCAGCCAGTCCCAGCACCTGGAAGGAAGCTCCCAAACCACCATCCCAAGCTCCTACGACAGAGAAGCTGAGCCGGTCCCAGCACCAGGAAGGAAGCTACCCCGCTGCCATCCCAAGCTCCTAGGGCAGAGAAGGTGAGCCACATGAGTGCCAGAAGCAAACCCCCTCTGTGAAAATGAGAAGACACATAAACAAGCCTCAAAAATAGACTTCCAGATCACCTACAGGAACCCCAAAGGGAAATGAGATGAAACAATCTGATACTCAACCACCTGCACTCTCTGAACTGGCCACAAAAGAGGATCTGGGAAAAATGAAATCAGAAATAATTACTCAGGTAACAGTAAAGACTTTGCTCATGGTGCAAGACATGGTTAATAAATCTAGAGAGGACGCAGATAAAAATATAGAGGATCTGAGAAACATGGTGGAATCCCAACATAGGAAACAAATGGAATCTCCATAAAACAGATACAAACCGATTTCCAACAGATTAAACACTCCATCGAAAGTCTGCACAGCAGAATGAACCAATGTGAGGATAGAATTTCAGATATAGAAGATAAGATTGCAATCACTGAGGAGGAAAAGAAAAATTGCTTTAAAATTGTAAGGGAACATGAGAAATCAATCCAGCAGCTGCTAGACGATGCAAAGAAGAATAACATAAGAC